TTTCGTAAATTATCTTCAAAAGACTACCATGAAATATCTAACGTCCACGCTTATAGAGATCAAACTATAATATCACGCATAAATATGCATTTTAATCTTCGTTGTTTAATTTCATATAAATCTCAAATTAAAGCCTATTTATAAATGCATTTAAAAACAATTTCTTCACCACCGATTAGCATTTGTTTCATGATGAAGTCTACTAATGCATTTAGAACACCGCTAACGAAGGAAGTCAATTAACCAATATGAAAACTTAACCCCACACCATTGAGGATCATCAATGAAAGTATTACTAGATAGAGATTCAAATAATCACGTGTTTAATTACCTGTTTCCAGGACAAATATATATATATATATAAATATAATATATAGTGATGTGAAGTAAAACAATATGGAAGGCTTTGCTGCGTAATTATTCATCGTTAAAGTTCAATTCCAGAGTACAGAAAATATGAAATTAAAAAAACGAAGAATAATCTAATCCCCAAAATCCATAGCTTTAACATGAATTTTTTAAAAAAAAGAAATAAATAAGAAACGAGATAAGAAGGTGGAAACTGAGAAACTCACTACCATAATGGGAAAAACTAAAGCCAAAGCAAAAGTTTTTCTAATGGGAAAAGGAAAAAAACAAATATTGTTGGTGTCTTCAAAACATATCATGAATGATAATAGATCTTGTTTCTAAAGGCGTGATCGTTATAAGCAATAGATGATACGGTAATGAACCACATTTTTTATTAGTTTCTTTCATTTTTAGCCCACTATATTTTTGCCCTTTTAGTTAATATTCGTTAACAGTGCATTTTTGGGAGAATCTCATAAAAAGGAGCTTGAAATTATTAAATTCTAAATAAGGAGCTTTTATAAAAATATATTGTTATTTGCAAGTCAAATGAAGTCAAGTGCTGTGAAAACTTATTAAAGTGTGGAAACCAAACTTGATTTGAAATTTAGTGATTTTAACTTTCTTTTTTTGTGAAATTCTCCCTATATTTTTTGACCTTATTCGTTAACGATATGTAATCAATATGAAGAAAAGAGTAATAAACTATTTAATAAAATTTGTAAATTATTTATTTCATTTTCTTCTTCTAACTATAATTTATATACCAAATATATCCGGAATATATATTTCTTTCACTGGGATCCTTTTAGCACTCTACCGTTCAAAGCGAACAACTAGTTTAATATATAAATTAAAAATAGCCTTAATTAACTCTTTATAAATAAAACGAATTGATCTTCTTCTTAATTGTATATTTCAAAATCTTGTACTACCATCACATTGTAAGTTTTTGTTGGGCAAAGTGACTAACAGTTTTTAAAAAAACAGCGATGAATTTACCATATAATGTTTTTCTCATTACACTATTTATTGACCCATCCTCCAAAATCATACATGAAGAAATTAGGGATAATGACCGAAAAATAATTCTTGAAGCTAAAAATTCCCAAATAGTTACTTAAATAAGCAAAATTTCAGTTTAGATATAAGTGACTAAATTGGAATTTGTAAATTTGCTAAAATGACCATATTGACATCTATTTTCTTTGGGGGAAAAAAAACACCAAGCACCTTTACTGGCTGGCCGGTCACCGGAGCTCCAGTACGGTGGCTGTGGAAGTTCAGGTTGGCCGTCATCACCAAAGCTCTAGCAGCCAGTCGTTCAGCAATTATTTTTTTGAGAATTTTTACAACTTCAGCAAGGCAGTTGTTAAGTTCTTTAACACTATTAACAATTTTGATATAGCAGTTAACAACAAATATTTCAAAAAATTCAAAAAGTAGTATTTTTACAACTCTAATAACTCGGTTAACAAGTTCTATAATGCTATTAGCATGTTCAATATAGCAAGCAGTTAATAACAGGTTTTTTAAAAAAAATTCAAAAAGTGATATTTTTAGGACTTTAATAACCTCCTAACTAACAAATCATGTAACAATATTAACAACATTCATAATACTATTAACAACTTTAATAACTAGTCATGTAATAATATTAACAACTCTTATAATACTATTAACAACAAGTTATATAATGATATTAACAATTCTCATAACCATAATGACTATCTAATAAAGGAAAAAATTTTGATGTACAACTTCCGTAAGGAGCTAATATTAAAAACATTAATCTTCATAGGGAAATTTTGTTAATAGTGCTATGAGAGTTATTAATATCATTACATGACTCGTTAACCGCATTACTAAAGTTAAAGAAATTCATCTTTTTGAATTTCTTGGAAACTTGCTGTCAACTGCTATATCAAACTTGTTAATAGCGTTACACAACTTGTTAACCACGTTACGAAAATTATAAAAATGTTACTTTTTGAATTTTCTAAAAAACATATAGTTAACTGCTATACCGAACTTGTTAATAGCATTAAAAAAATTGTTAACTACATTATTACAGTTGTAAAAATCTCCAACAAAATAGTTGCCAAATGACCGACCGCTAAAGCTCCGATGATGGCACTCACTTGAACTCTAACGGCCGCTACTATCACGGGAGCTCCACCACCCAGTCAAGCAGTGAGGGTATTTAGTAATTTTTTTGAAGAAAAATAAAGACCAATATGGTCATTTCACCAAATTTGCAAATCCCAATTTAGTCAGTTATACCTAAACTAAAATTCTACTCATTTAACTGCTATATCAAACTTGTTAATAGTATTACAGAACTTATTAATTACATTACTAAAGTCATAAAAATATTACTTTTTGAATTTTCTAAAAAAACTTATAGCTAACTGCTATACTGAACTTACTAATAGTGTTAAAAAATTTGTTAACTGCATTAAAAATCTCCAAAAAAAAAAGGTTACCCAATGACCATTCGTTGGAGCTCTGATGATGGTAACCCACCTAAACTCCGACCGCTGCCGCCATCACTAGAGCTCCAACACCCAGCCAGCCGGTGATGGTGTTTTTTTTTTTTTAAATAAAGGGCAAGAGTCATTTCACCAAATTTGCAAATCCCAATTTAGTCGTTTATAGCTAAACTGAAATTTTGTTCATTTAAATGACCATTTAGGAATTTTGAAATTTAAGAATTATTTTTCTATCATTTTTCCAAGAAATTAAGACAGAACACTGCTTCTTTAATAATTAGGTTTTATTTTCAAATTCAAATGGGATTTGAATAATCTGACATGTAAATAATATTATCTCTTATGATTATTTACAAATCCAAGTTTTAATTAGGGAAAATACATAAAAAGAAGTTAAAAATTATAATATTCTCACTTAGGCACCCAAGAATTCAAAATCCCAAAGAAGGAAGTAGTGCCTGATCGGATATTTTGTAAATATAGTCAAATGACTCAAATGTCTTTGTATTAGATTAAAAAAAAAAACTATCAAATCTATCATTACCAGTACAATTTTTTGTCATTAGCTATTTAACACTTGTTATTATCAGTTCACAACTTATTAATAAATAACTTGTCATTACTGGTACATTTCTTATCATTTGCTATTTAATACTTGTTATTGTCAATTCACAACTTGTTAATAAATTTTTTGATATAAGGGCATTTTAGTCATTTAATTATATGAACAAAATATCCGATCATGCATCACTTTCTCCTCTGGGATTTTGAAGTCTTAGGTGCCTTAACTATAATATTACAATTTTCAACTTCTTTTTATATCATTTTTCCTTTTAATTATTGTGTAATTATTAGAATTTATAATTATTTAATAGTCCGAAGTATTTAATATTTGAATAATTATACTTGTTATAATCTAAATTCATAATGAGAGAAGTACCCGTTCAGAAAAAAATTAATTTATATCTTATAATTTAAACATATAGAGGGAGAGGGGAATGAAATTCAACCTGAAATATAATTAGATTTTATATTCCCTTCTAATAATAAAAATTTATTAGTTCTAAACTTAAATAGGATTGGACTGATTTGAAATCTAAATACAATTAGATTGATTTTACAATTAGATAAAAGTTCAAGTTGAAATTACTATAAAAGCAAAAAATTACCCGTTCTATAAAAGCAATTATTTTTTTTTTGCCAGAATAAAAGCAATGATTAGAATTTATAATTATTTAATATTTGATTTATTTAGCATTTCAATCATTCATCCCGTTACAATCTAACCTCACAATTCGGCGGAGGGATAGCAAAGCACATTAACATTTTTTAATGGGTTAATATAATACTTGGTTCTTCAAGTTTGCATAATTTGGTTTTAGCCCTTCAAATTTCAAACTATATAATTTAGCACTATAAGGGATAAAATGATCTAAGTTTTTATTAAATTATAGGAATTAATATTTTAAATAAAAAAATTTGAGGTACCAAAACCAAAACAAGAATAAACTTGAAGGACCAAAAATTATATTAATGTTTTTTTAAATTTATATCTTAATTACAAGTAATTCGATTCTACTAACGAAATAATTCAAAAATATATACCAATTTTAAATCCAACCTGAATAATATAATTGGATGTTTTAAGATAATTAGAAATATGCGGTTCTTAAAAATAAAAAAATTAATTAGGTTCCTCTATAATAAATTAATAATTATTAGTTGTGATACGTCGGAATCAATCCACACATCAATTGTCAAGCCTAACTTTCGCCACTGATTTATGAACTATAGAATTGCAATAATCACCCCCAAACCAAAACCTATTTTTATTAAAGAAAAAAATAATTTAGAGACTGTATTATTATTTAAATTAAATTAACAATACCTCTCAGCTTTTTTCCCAGACATAGGCTTTCGCCATCAATTATTTCAATGGCCTAGACGATAATTTGAAGTCTAAATTACCCATCTGATCAATGATCAAATTAGAATTGGATTTCAGCCGATCTGTTTCCTCTAGTAATTTGAATAAAAATAGCCGTTAAGTTGTTGGTTAATTTTGAGAAGTCGGTCTTTCAAAAATTTTAACGTTGGGACTCAGAAATATATACCTTCGGCTCTTATTTTACTCAACTGTGCCATTGAGTATGCTAGAGGTGCCACAGCCTCAGCTCCTACGCCTCCGCCGGCTAAGAAGGATACTGGAACTGGTGGTAGGAAAATAGTTAATGCGTTCGTTGGCAAGGGTGTCAACAGGAAGGTTGCCTCTTATCTTGATTGCGTTTTAGAGCCATTCGAATCGATTGGCGTTGGAGGGGACCCAGCTTCTGGGTGAGAAATATTTCTATATGAACAAAACTGAAGGGCTCAAGATTTTGCCTCTTATTACCGTAAGTCTCGTGTCACATTCTATTTGTAGATTGAGTTTCCTGGTTGCTGTTTTTCGAGTTCGGTAATTTGATTTGGTGACAAAGTTTAGTCAATTATATCGTGAAGCTGTAGGCTTATAGTGTTTCATAGTTCCGAGTGTATTTTTTCTCCCATGGGAAATTGACCCAAGTGCGTGTACCCTTTTCTTTAAATGTGCTCTGAAGTTACAGCATAGAGTAGTTGGAAAACCATAGTGTTCAAAGGTTTTGTTGTAGGTTCATGGTATGATTTATGAGGATCGTGGTTAAAAATACTGTGATGATTGAAATTGAAGTCTATTTATCTTCAACTTCTATATCGATTCACGTCCACTAAGCTTTGGCTTTTGTCTGTAGATGTGATTCTGCGGTTCTGTTTACCTGCTCCTATCTCTTCTTATTTTTTCTAGCATTTTACACCTATTGGATATAGGTCGTGCTTGATATTTGATATTTCTTTTGTCCTTTGAGGAGCCTATTGATGCCAAGAGTGAAACTAGTAAGAAACCATATACCAATTTATATCTGTCAAAACATTAGTAATTGTTACGTTATTTTGTTAAGGTGCTTTGACGTAGCTTTGCATTTTGTTGAAATTAAGTATTTGTTGCCCATTCATAGAGGAGCTCCTGCTTTTGTTGAGAGCGACGGATCCTTCTTATAGGAATCAGGGTATTTTTTTCTTCTCCTTCTCGCATTCATTTCGGTCAGTTTATTGGAATAAATTTTGGTTGTTTACTTCACAGCCACTCTTCTTGATGTCGAAGTGTGTGGTATTAAAAAAAATGGTTCTATTTTCCCAGCAGTATTTTCTTGTCAAAGTTCTCCCATACGTATTGTTAATATCATATAATGACTTGTTAACCGTGTTACTGAAATTGTAAAAATGTGGCTTTTTGAATTTTCCAAAAAACCTGTTGTTCAATGCTATACCGAACTTGTTAATAGAGTCATGAAATTTGTTAATAGCATTACTGAAGTTGTAAAAATACTACTTTTTGAATTTTCTGAAAAATCTATTATTAACTGTTATACTGAACTTGTTAATAGCATTATAAAACTTGTTAACCGTTTTACTGAAATTGTAAAAATTTTCAAAAAAAGTAGTCACTAAAGTTGTAAAAATGCCATTTTTTTAAATTTTTTAGAAAATCTGTTATTAAAAACTATATCGTAGTTATTAAAAGATTTGCGCAACTTGTTAAGGGCATTATTGAAGTTGTAAAAATACTACTTTTTGAATTTTCTGAAAAACCTATTGTTAACCACTATACTGAACTTATTAATAGCGTAACAAAACTTGTTAATTATTTTACTGAAGTTGTAACTGAACTTATTTGCTGCCACCGGAGCTCTGGCAACTGATTGGCAGAGGCCGCTGAAGCTTCGGGAACAACAGCCACCTAAGCTCCAGCCTAAGCTCCGGCAGTCACTGTCGGCACTGGAGCTTCAGCGACCAGTGGGGGCATTTGGTTTTTTAAAAAACAATAAATAAAATAAAGAACAATATGTCATTTCAGTAAATTTATAAGTGTCAAACCGGTTACTTATGACTAAATTAAGATTTTGCAAATTCAAGTGACTATTTTGGCATTTTCAAGTTTAAATGTCATTTTTGTGTCATTTTCCCTACAAGTAACTTATATTTAAGAACAAAAATCTTCCTAATAAGTGGCTTATAATAAACACCATAATGACATTATATTTAGAATCAAAATTAACTTCCTAACTAGTTTTGCCAAAACTTCTATGCGTTGAAGACTGCTATATAATTCTCATGGTAATCTATTTCCACCATCACCCTGCTCAAGCCCATCAATTCCAAACATTCAGGTGCTGACAGCAACGCCAAGCTTTCTACCTTCCTCGATGCAAATAGGTGCTTTATCAGTTTTACTGCGAAATAATATTATAATGCTGCATCAATGTTATTTACTCCCTTTCTGCTTTCTATTACAGTTTATTTTCGTATGCTAAAATAAACTCTGCAGCACAAATTGTTACAAAATGAAACTGATAGGTATGGAGATTCTGGATTAAAGTTTCAGACAAAAGGTCAGATACAGTGTTTAGGATCAAGCATTTGGATTGTTTATTCCCATGTTTAGAGTACCATATTTTAATGATAACTAAATAATATTAAATTTTAATTCTACTTAAATGATCTGATTGTTTTATAGATTACAAAATAATGTTTCATGACAGTGATTTAACTTGTTGTAGGGGATTATTCTGATAGTTTACTATCTGCTAATTAAAACAAAGCACATTCTAATTGATAACTAATTCTTCTACGGTATATCCTTTGACCTTTCCCATTAATAATGATTTTTACCTACACAGGTGCACTCCCTCCATCCTTGGCCTCATCCTTCCCTTATTGCAAGCGCATCTCTGAATTTGGTGGCATATAAAACTTACGGCAATGATATGTTTTGAGCATATAAACCATGCCAATATGGTAAAATCTCTGCTATATGGTCTAATTTCTTGTAAAATATCATGCATATGTTGTAATTAATATGTTCGAATAATATGTAATTAAAAGGCTTCATATTAATGATGTGTCAGTAGTAATCTGTAAGAGTCAGCTCTCCATAACAATTTTTAGTTTTCTTTTCATTATTGAAGTTTGATTTAAAACCATGGGTGTGTAACTAGTTTGGTATAGCTTATTAAAACCTCACCATTTGATTGACAATGAAAAAGGAAAAAAAATCATAGACTACACTAGCAGAAAAATCCCCTTAAATATATAACACTTCAGACTAAACGCAGATACACCCCAGTTTATTGATCTAACCAAAAAAAAAAAAAAAGGGTTTGCAATTTGTACCATATGCCATCTAGAAATTGGAAATAAACATATCTCCATAATCTCTTGTAGAGCAAAGGACCTACCACAACCCAAAATCCCACCACAAACCCCAATGTCATGCTTACAAAAAACCAATCAATCCCCTCCCCATGATCACCATTCTTATCATCTTGATCTGGATCACTTGAAGTGCAGTTATTAGTGAGAGGAGGACCACAAAGGTTGTTGCCAGCAAAACTAGATGCTTCAAAGCTTTGCAACTCTGTCCCTGTAGGAATTCTTCCCTCCAAATCATTTCTTGACAAGTTCAGAAAGCTCAAGAAGCTTAACTTGGTTATGCTTTGTGGGATTTCACCAACAAGATGATTCCTTGAGAAATCGACAGACTCTAGTGACTCCAAGTTCCCAAAAGTTTTTGGAATTTGACCGCTCAAACAATTATTAGAAACATTTAGAAAGTGTAACCCCTTAAGTCTTGTGATTTCCATTGGTATCTCTCCAGATAATTTGTTGCTTGAAAGGTCAATACTTGTGATGAGACCAAGAATAGCTCTATAATCAACTCTCCCTTTTAGGGAAAGGAGCTCCTCAAGAACCAGATGCCTTGTGTTGTTTGCTCCATTGCAAAGAATGTATGATTCTGAACTACTATTTACTATTGAAATAGCACTCAAATGGTTGATGCATTTGGGTATTTGTCCTGTCAACTTGTTTTGTGCAAGGTCTAAGACTTGTAATAACCTCATGTAACATATTTGAAAGGGAACTTGACCAGAGAACTTATTTGATTTAAGAACAAGAATCTTCACATTTGGCAAGTGTTGTCCAACCCATGATGCAATTGTTCCTGAAAATTGATTGTTCCCTAGATCCAAAGAAATCAGTTTGCTGCAATTTTTCAACAAAGTTGGGAAAGTTCCAAAGAAACTATTGTTGCGAAGGTGCAACACTTCCAACCAGGATAATGATCCAATGGATGAGGGTAGGATCCCAGTCAATTGATTGTTTGCTAAGTTCACTACACCAAGTTTTGGCCACATCATCTAATAATCAGGCATTTCTCCTGATAAATTATTTGATGCCAGTATAAGAAATTCTAAGTTCTTTGTCTCATCATGTTTAGAACGCAAAAGATGTGTTAAGGATCCTGAAAATTGATTGCTTGAGAGGTCTATATAAATCATATGAGGTGATATGTAAGGCAATGGACCATTTAACTTATTTGAGCTTAAATCCACAATACTTGGGAGAGGAATGGAATTCTCCCATACATTTGAAAGCTCACCATCAATGTAATTGTGAGAGAGGTTTAATTTATGAGCATTGTCAAATCTGCTCCAAAGCCAAGATGGAATAGGACCAAATATGTGTGTGTTTGAAATATCCAAATCACAGAGATGCTTTAGTGATTGAATCCACAATGGAAAGTCAGGGCCTAGATTCCAGGAAGCCATTCCTAAATACTCCAAAGTTTGAAAAGGAGGACTCCAATTGGGACTCACTTGTAAAGTGAATTGGTTTCTTGATGCATTGAATAGGTGTAAGTGGGAGAGATTAAGGTGGGCCTCTTTCACAATTCCATTGAATAGATTATCTTGGGTATAAAGAAAACGCAATTTAGAAAGTGATCCTAGAATTTCGAAAGGAAATCCACTGAATCGATTATTTGAAAGGTCAAGATATATTAAAGATGTGAGATTTCCTAGTGATTTAGGGATTTCACCTTGGATATTGTTGCTAGAGAGATAAAGCCTAGCAAGATTTTTGAAACGCCCAATTTGATATGTTAAATAGCTAGGTAATTGAAAACTTGTAGCATACAAAACCTCTAATCTGTGTGAACCACATTTGAAGAAAACTTGTAAAATTTCAGAAACTTGTTGATGGCACTTTTTATTTGAAATAAACAATCTTTTCAGGTTGCAGAGATTTCCAATAGAGATTGGAATTTTTCCTTCTAGATGATTATCAAACAAAGCAAGATGATCAAGAGAAGTCAAGTTTCCAATGTTATGAGAAATAGTGCCAGCCAAGTTATTACCAAAGAGATAAAGACACTTCAAATGATTGAAGCTGTACAACCAATCAGGAATAAAAGAGCCAAACAAATTTTTGGATAAATCAAGATGTTGAAGGAGAGTTAAGTTTTGAATACCTTCAGGGATAGATCCATGGAAATTATTACTCGATAACTGAAGATAAAACAAATTTTTCAAATGGAATATCCAATTTGGAACTAGTGGAGGCCCAAAGAAGTAAGAATTGGAAAGGTCAAGGATGGCTAGAGATGAAAAGTTAAAGGTAGATGGTTGAAAATAATGACAAAAATCACAATATGACAAGTGCAACACACTCAAAGAGGGAAGTGAATGTAGAATGTTCAACCAATCAGAGGTGATGGATAAGTTTGTGAAACTTAGGTCAAGACATTGGAGCATATAGAGACCTCCAAGCCACTGAAGATTTCCAACATAAAATCCATCCACATCAGATTGATAAGAACCTCTGAGATCAAGATAGATCAGATTGGAGAGGTTTCCAATTTCTTGAGGTATGCTTCCCATGAAATGATTGCCTCCAATGTCAAGGTAGAGCAAATTGGAAAGATTGGTAATTTGATGGGGAATTCTTCCACCAAATCCAGCTTGAGAGAGGTTAAGGTATGTTAAGTTCATCATTGAGTCAAGGAAAGTAGGGATTTGCATGCCACCAAAATCATTACCACTCAAGTCCAAATAATTTAAATGCTTCAAATCAAGCAAAGAAGGATGTATCTAACCCCTAAACCTTGATCTCTCAAAAGATTCACGTACATCATAATACCAAGGAGGTGAAGGAGGTGAAGTTGCGAGGTGAAGCTCAAGAATGTTACCAGTTACGTTGTTGCAAACAACTGATTCCCAGTTGCAACACTCTCCATCACCAGCAGACCAAGAGGTGAGCCTGTTTGAAGAGTCTTGGAGGTGAAGCTTTAAGCTTAAGAATAGCATCTCGCTCACTTGGAACACAGAGGATACTAGAGGATGCTTTGTATATGAATAAATCAACAGTTAGAAAGGTAAGAAACCACAGAAAAACAAACCTAACATTGGTAACAATATTGCAGGAACCGTCGATGACAATCAAGCGCTGGATTATTTTTCTCAGATTTATATCCTTTGTTTCAGGTGCTGAAATTTATAATGTTACTTGTTGAGCTATGCGGCTGTTATTTAAAGCGCCTCCAGTCAACTTCTTACAAAGCAGAATTGAGTGTCCCACACACAAATGATATGGTTGATTAGTGTGTTTTAATAAAAAAAGTTTACTTTGTTTGCCTCACTGTAAAAGTACTTTTTATATTTTATTTAACTAATAATTTTGCAATTATTAGTAAAATAACATCTATTTTGATGAAAAGCATTTTGATATGTGTGTGTGTGTATGTGTCATAACAAATATTGCATATATTTTAAATTTTAAAATTTACAATCAATTTCTAAAAACAAATTGGTGTTAAACAAGAAGAAAGTAGTCACAATACAATTTTTTTTTTTATGCTGTGTCGCTTTTTCTCTACAAGAATACTAAATAGATATGGAGAAAATAAGGTATTAATTAATGGGTGCGTTGTGGAAATTAAATTCTTTTCTACGCCAATAAACAATATCATAATTAGTTACAACATGCAGAGAAAATTATTTTTTAATTTGTAGTCATAATATAGCCTTGCAAAGTGTTTTATATATAATCTAATTGATTTCCATTGAAAAAAGATGCCTATATTTAGTGCTAAAAAATGCCCAAGGGAAAAAGTCTTCCATAATTGAGCTGTTAACTTTTGTGCATGTTAAAATCGGCAAACTGATAATGAAGATATCCTTCTTCGATCATGATTCAACATTTTTATATTTAAGTTTTTCATCATTGATGTGATATGTAGATCCAAATGAGGAAAATATATTGTCACTTGCATAAACTGTTTTTTTGTGGAAATTTTAAAAGTTGACGGCTATTCTTAGTCTGGGCCCTATGTTTGCGTTGTTGACGGGGTATAAGAGTTGAGAGTCAATGGTAAAAGACATCAAAGAAAAATGAAAACAAGAAATTATTGTGAAGTCAAACTCACGATCTTCTGATTATAGGAGAATGTTCATGTCATTAGACCCACATTATTCTTGTAGAGCAAAAGCATAATAACGGGGATGGAAGGTTATTTTACACACATTAATTATTTTTTAAATGACTTTATTTAATTTACGATTGATTATTCTTCAAGGAAAACTTTGTATTTTGTTATCAAAATGATAAAGTTAGATAGCAAAGAAGAGAATAGCAAGACGAGAATAGGGAGGGGAAAAAATAAGAAGGTACTCCTCCAATCCTTAATATAAGACATATTTAACTAATTTGATTAGATTAAGGAAGTTAGGTAAGTTAGTTAATTATAAGAAATATGACATGTTTTTCCTAAAACACTATAATCATCTTCCTTAATATCCTCTCTTCCTCTTCTATTTGATTATGATTCAGGGAGATCCATAAGGGTAATTTAGGGAAAACTAACGAATATGAGAAATAGGTCTTATATTTAAGACTAAAATCAACTCAACAATTAGGTCCTATATTAAGGACCGAAGGAGCATTTTATTTTTTCATTCACATACGGTACCAATCCTCTATTTATAGTCCTCAAACCGTTAAAGTCTAATATACTAGGGTTATAAAGGAGTGAAGAAGAACATAATGACATTAAACATGAGAAACTCCTCCCAAGTCATTCATTGAGAAGGTTATGGGTTTAGGGCATTCAAAGATAAAAAATCCTAACAGTTGGGTTATGAACATTCGCTTGTGCATAACGCATATTATGCTTCATTAGCACCTTACTAGAAAAAACTCATTGGGACAAAAATCTAGTGAAAAAAAAAAGAGTCACACTATATATTGAAGCTACTCGATTAAAAAAACCTTGTAAGGAAAACTATGTGACACACAAGCTTGGCTTTAAAAAAAACAAAGAAAGAGTACAACATACTCTTTACTCTCCATAATAACAATATCACTTTTACTCTGCTTGATTGATAACAGCATCACTTTTCATCATTTTATCTCTGTAAAGTATACTAATTTCTCAAGCAAATTATTTCCAATTATTTTTCAAGCACATAGTTGCATCATGTGTTGTCATCAAATTATCTACTGAAATGTATTATATTCCTCTAATCTTTTGGATATGTTGAAATATCAATATACTCTTCACTTGCCTTATGCACTGTGGAGTTAATGAAGTTGAACTGCCCTTAATTGTCGCTTTGGGGTTACTCCAAAAATTAACCGAATTAATGCAATATAGTGCACAACTTGGGTCGTTTCACTTTGAGGAGCCGAAAACGAAATTAAACCCTAGTAAATGAATGCAAGTAACCTAAACTATAAAAAGAGATTTTTGATTTTGAAAAGCTGTTAATTAAATACTACGAATTAAATTGAAATTAAAATACTTTTTTTTTGTTTTTATATAAAAGTGATTAAAATGAATGGAGATTAAAGAAATGAAAATGAGACACACAAATAACACTGATAAAAATCAATCCTCCAATTCAACAATGCAGGCAATCATCACTCTAAAAGATGTGGGAGTTAAAAACAATGAATTAAGAATTATAATTGAGCTTTTGATCCAACAACCGAGCCACCTCGAATTGCCACAAAATATTTTCCTAAAATCCCAACTTACTAACTGCAACCAGAATAGTAAAATGGGATTAAGGATGCTAAAAACCAATGCTTAATTAGAACTCTTAAATCCAAAATAACAGAATTAAAGCTAGCAAGAGACTATATGATCCAAAATTTTAAGCCACCTTAGAAAATCACAATATATTAATTCCAAAATCAATACAAATGTCATAACCACAACATTATAATTGAGATCAAAACTATAAACAGCCCAATGTCAAATACTAAGCAATAATTCAGTCATAATAATCCCCAAATATAATTAGATTAAGCAATACAATTATCCCAATAATCAGAGAAACTATCCTAAGACCTAGGAATTGTTAAACAATTATTGAGTAGGAAATTAAAGCAACTAAAACTCCCCTTTGATGATCTAAGCTCCTGCCATTATTGTTGAATTAGAGAATTGTGAAGCTAGCCTCGGTTTGCCATGAGATTCGACGCCACCAGCAATTCTCTATTGCAACTTCCATGGAGGATATCGAAGGAAGAGTGTAGAAAACCGTCAGCTCCCCTGGTCTGCGTCTGCCGTCACTCCGTTTTCTCCCTCTCCCAGCCGCCGTCCAGCTCGCTTCAGCGTCGTGTGTGTTGCCCGCCTCTGTTTCGCTATGGTCGCGCTGAGAAAGGAAGAAGACGAAGTCGATGATGATGACGGCTTTCGGTCAAAGGAAGAAGAGGTGGATGGTTTCGCCGTCGACTCCTCACTCTCTTCTTTCGTCGTGTGTCGTCCGCCTCCAGCTTGTTCGTGCTTCTCTGTTTTTCCGCTGGTCAGCTTCGCCGCCTCCAGTTCGCTTTCGTTCGGCGTCGCGTGTGTGTGTATTTTCCTCCTGTCTTCGGCCAGCTGATGATGGTTATTAGGTTGGGGCAAAACGTTGCGTTTTGCCCCCAACTTAATATTATATTTTTTTGGGAAAATGACATTGAGGTCCCACAGAACCAAAAATACAGCAAAAAGGTCCCCTGAAATCCCATAATTTTTCTGAAGTCCCAAAGGAACTTAGATGCAATTTTCAGAATCTGGAAATTACCCTCTTACCCTTGCTTATGAGATTCGAAAATGCTGAAAGGAGATTAGAGCCTCTGTTTTTTGTTTGACCGGAAGAAAGCTGAAACCGTGTTGTGCTTTTGTGCTGCTGGAAATCTGGTGAAAACCCATCGCGATGCTCAAATTCCCCTCACAACCCGTCGAAAATCGTGAGCCTTCGTGCTGGTTGGTGTGTGTTGTGATTTAAGTTGGGTGTGTAGAATGATAATGGGTGCTCTGTTTTTGGGTTGTTTTTGGGTGGTTTTCCTCTGTTCTGACGTTGGTTTAGTGGCAAAGGAAGAAAAAGATGAAGGTTAGTGAGGGTAGAAACCCTTAGCACGAAATGGGACTGTGTTGTCAATCAGGCCGCGATTGTTGTCAATGTGTGCCGCTACACTTGTCAATGTAGCTCTTTAAGTTGTCAATGACAGTTGCGTGCTTCTTGATGCAGGTTTAAGTTACTGATGGTTTTTCAAAGCTTTTGTTTTTGGTTTAGGATTCAGAAGTTAATGAATGGAAAAGCTGTGTTTTTGGTTGGTGTGTGTTGTGATTTAAGTTGGGTGTGTAGAATGATAATGGATGCTCTGTTTTTGGGTGGTTTTCCTCTGTTTTGACGTTAGTTTAGTGGCAAAGGAAGAAAAAGATGAAGGTTAGTGAGGCTAGAAACCCTTAGCACGAAATGGGATTGTGTTGTCAATCAGGCCGCGATTGTTGTCAATGTGTGCCGCTACACTTGTCAATGTAGCTCCTTAAGTTGTCAATGACAGTTGCGTGATTCTTGATGCAGGTTTAAGTTACTGATGGCAAGTACGTCTGGAAAACATCTATTTTGCTTTGTTCACATAAGGGGAAAGTTTATAAATGATGGAGAAGATAATATGAGATATGTGAGAGGTAGTGTAAGAACAACCAATGTAAAGGAGGGCACAA